AGATACATACTAGTCACTGCCACATGCCGATTGTTTTTGCCCTCATCGATGACGTCCATGACCTCCTCTGGACTGGACACAAAACGCTCAGTACAACCCTGACAGAGAAAGAGAAGCATTCACAGTTCACCGTGTATTTAGATGTTTAACTGGAATCAGGGCACTTAAAGTGAGACCATGGAATTTGTATGCATCCTAAAATCAACAATCTGAAATATCACAGTCTTGACTAATCATGAAACATGAAGCCAGTTTACCAACCTTCACGTAGGGAACTCTGTTTTTGTCTTCATGCACAGCGAGGTTTGTCTTCGACACTTCAAACAGAACAAAAAATCACAAAGGTCACATGTTGAATCATAAAAAAAAGACTGAATAAAACAGGGTAATCATGCAAAATACTCCGATTCACCTTAAATGTGACACACTTGAGATGCACAGTGTTACTCACCATCCAGCAGGTCTCTGATCTTATCCATGTAGATTTCAAAATAGGAAACCTGCACAGAAGAACTCCAAACGTATAATGTCCACTACTGTTTTCTCATGTTTCTGCTGTGACAAATGTTTTTTGTTATTGTTCACCTTGATGTGGAACTCGAGGTTCTCGTCCATGGAGTAGATGTGGTCAAAGATGTCGTGGGAGATGCGAGGGATGATTCCCATCAGCTGGTGGTCGTGCAGTTTTCCCTGAACACAGCAGTGAATATTCATGTTATTAATGCGGATCATCTGGGTTTAAGATGGAATAAAAAGTGAATGTAAAGACAGTGAAGCAGATGTTTTTCATCACAGACTCACAGATCAGAGTATTACTGCTGTCTGGTGGATTAGTCTACTGGCTGAAGTGATTTGAACTCATCTCGAAATGAATGATGCAGGACGACGATCTCCTTTGAGTTCAACTTGTGCAAAGGATTCTACTTTTTCCACTTAAAATCTGTACATTTCACACAGTGAGTTTAGACATCAATGCCTTGCTGAAAAGCTTTGAAGGTTTGCAGGAACTGAAACTTCTATCAGGCTTTTGATTTCTCATCTTTCAGCCATCGGAGGAGATTGGATTTTAGTGTTTGTGCAAAGTCTGTTACACAATGCCGGCTGTGCTCTAATCCTCTGATTGGAGAGGAAAAAATAAAGGTCAATGGCTCTGACTCTGGGGTTTATCCTCTGGTTGACTGATTGTCTATGAAGAAGTGGAGGAATTGCTGACATGACAGTTAGAGCTCTGTCATGTTTGAGGTGGACTGAATGAAAGTCTCACCTCCATGGTGTGTGTCTTCCCGGAGGACGTCTGTCCGTAGGCGAAGATGGTCCCGTTGTAACCGCCCAGCACATCTGGGGCGACACGAAACCACAGCCATGAAAAACAGCTGTCCATTGTGACGACAATACCATGTGTGTATAATAATAAAACGTACTACTACTAATCTACCAAAATCTCCTCAAACATTGTAAACCTGCATAACTTCAGGATGTGTCATGTTTTCTCAGCTATTTATAATCTAAAATGTTCAACAACCAACATCCAGCAGCAGATAGTGACATTAAATGCAGATAAGAAGGTAGAATGAGGGTAAAAAGACTTTACTATTATGTAAAATATAAAATAAGAGATGAGGGGCAGATTGCAGATAGATTAGAGTTACATAAGAACAATGTGTCACGGTACCTTTAACTATCTGTTTGGCACACTGGTCGTAGACTTGCCCCTGTGACGTGTTGGGAGGCAGCACTCGGTCGAACACGTAGGGTTTACTCTGTTTCAAACCAACACGGGACACATTAATGACACAAATATACTGCAATGCATCAAACAAGACACTACTGCATGCTTGAGAGTAAATGAGACCATTTCATGATTAGAAACCACTGACAAACTTGATGAGCTGCAGCTACATGCTGCGTGTTTCTCTGCTGGTTTAAAAGTGTAAATGCTCCAGCAGCTCCCAGTCTGTCTGTCCATCATGCCTCCTGCCCTCGTACAACTATTGTCTCTGTCTCTCGGGGGGTTTAAAAGCCTCGTCGCTGTGAAAGCGCCGCTCTCAGCACTTGGGAGGCGGCAGGAGCAGCACTCTCGCTCTCTCTGAGCCCCGAGATGAAGCAGAGAAAACACTGACGCCCACAGTATCAGAGTGTCGGGAATGTGTTTCTGCAGTTTGACTGACGGCACGAGGCGGTGACGAGCAGTTTGTCCTGACGGAACAGCAGTGTTTCTGGAAGATGATGCAACAGAATGAATAATGCAGGATGCTGATGGTGAGCGGCTCTGCGTGAACACACTGTGGCTGGGTTCACTTCCTGTCTGTCCGTCTGCTTGCATACAAACGCCGCACTGCAATGTCATTTTTTACAGATCATCTTGACATATTTTAGTTGCTCATCCCTGTTTTTTAGACATAACTATTATGTAGTGTTCAAGAACAGCTGGGAAAATACAACATCACATGTTTTTGGTCAGGGATGACTTTCACAAAATCAGAATTTCTCACAAACAATCTAAACGTTCTGGCACAGACTGTGAAGATGTCTGGGTTAGCTCCACCCACCTGGGCTTCCAGGGAGTAGAAAACAAACATTAGACCCAACAGATGCTCTGAAATAAACAGAAATAAACCTCAGGCTAAAAAGTAGCCGGTCACTGTGGAGAAACAAGGCACTGAAGCAGCCTTCCCTGAGTTTCACATGTAAAATGGTGAGTCAGTGTGACCTCTGACCTCCAAATGATCACTTCCTTTAATTGTAAATCAATATTCCTCTGCAGCAAATCTGTCCGGATCAATTTTGAAATAAACTGAAGCCAAAAACGGTCTTAAAAGATGATTGTTCTTCGAATTTTTGTGTTAAAGTTTGATTTTAAAGCTGTATTCTCGTCGCTTTTTCCACACAATGTTGAGATGGCTGAGAGGAAACGCATCACAGCTGAGCTTATTCCTGATTGGCTCTCTGAAATCTGAAATAAACTGCCTTTTTTAATCCTCTGAGATCTGTTTATCCCTGCTGGAGTTTTTTTGGTATTTAATAAACATAAAGTAAGTCTGTTTCTAACTCTAAATATTTAATATACATTTAAATGTCAGAATTTGACGATATGTAAACACATCATTTTATTTGTTTATGTTATTGCTTGTACTGGTATATTATCAAAATATTTTACAATGTAGATGTCCAATGACATTGTTTTGCATTTTTATATTAATGAAATATTTAATTATGATGATTAGTACTGGCTGTCGTATAAACATTTATCCCTGCAGAGTATCTGAGTAGAAGTCACTGATTACTGATTACCCTCTGACACACAGGCCTGCCATCAGTATCTCTGTAATATGGTGGTAGATCATTGTTACACCGCTATAACATCTCCTGCAGGGCTTATTGCGCATCTGGCATCCCCGGCCTGCCTGCAGAGCTCCAGGTGACTTTGCTCCTCTGAAACACTGCAGTGTTTGTATTTCCAGCTGCACACACACACACACACACACACACGCACACACCACATCACAGCAAACAGTGAGCGGACAGACTTGCCGTTATGACCACCGTGTCGTCCTCTTTGAATTTGGGGATGTATTTGTCTCCTCTGTTTATTTCGGCCTCGTTCAGGGGCCTGAAGCGGCACATCACCCTCACCCCGCACTCCGCCGCATCCATCATGGCTGCTGCTGGCACTGTTTACACCGCCCCTCCAGATAATGCGGGTGCAAACAAATAAACAAACAGGCTGGGAAACAGCAGTCTGTTTTTTGGCAGGGTGGTGCCCAAACTGAGGTTCACGGACCACCAGCTGGGGAGTTCAGAATTCACTAAAACAGAGAATCACATCATTATTGGCAAATACCGAATTTCCCAGAGGGGGGTGGGGGCAAAAACGTCTGGCTTCTCGGTTTCCTCACCGCGAGAAAGTTTAGGAATCTTCCGGTTTATCCGATGCGCAACGCGTCCTTCATCCAAGCAGAATACGTCCGGGTATCCTCGGCTGCGCCATGGCCGAACCGGATCAACCGCAGCGCCGCGTCCCGCTGAGGAGCTCAGACACCGGCGTGCAGGCCTCCTTCTGCAGCGGCGACACCGACAAATCGCGCAGGGAGCGGACCGATGAGTGTTTGTGCGTCTTAACGGCGGGGTCGCTGCACGGTTTGCAGAGGGAGAGCCGGGGAGGATGCGCAGAGACAGCCGCAGAGCCCTGACTTGCAATAAACGCGCGTTCCAGGCACGCTGCCGCGGCGCGCGCCCGCGCCCGTGCCCTGCATCAGCACCACTGAGTTGATAGTGTGTACGCGCGCAAAATAAGCTCATTTATGAATTAATCTCTAAATATATGTTAATTTGTAGCCTTTTTTAAGCTACATTTCCTTCTCACATTTAGTTATTTTGACTTATATCTTCATTCTTATGACTACATTATATATTGACTGAGACGATTTATTGATATGCAGACCTACGTTATGTTATACAGATGTTTAGAGCCAGATGCTCAGGGTTTTATCATCATCATCTTGGTTCTGTACTCTTACCTGCACATCTCCTGTGTTCATTCTCATTGCTGTTGCTGATATGACACCTGAATCTCCCTCCGGGGATCAATGGAGGTTCATCCGATCAAAATAGAGCAAATGAAGATATAAATGATGTATTATTATAGATCAACAACCAAGCAATCTTTTGTTAAAAGTAGCCCTAACAATTGCAAGCTGCAACATTAAAGTAATGCTTATTGTTTATTAAATAATTAGTGTTTAAATGCGACATTTCCAGCCATCATCTCATCTTTCTATTCTTTTATTCTCTGTCTGCCGCTGAATTAACTTCTCCTATCTGCCCGCTAGAGGGCAGTGTGCAACAAGAAACACCGGCTTTAAAATAATCCTCTTTATCTCCACAATGTGAAGTTATTACACTTTTTATTCTACAAACCAGCTGTTTAAACTTAGAAAAAGATAACCGGAGGAACCGTAATCACAACAAGAAACGGGGAACAAATACGCGTAACACACCAGATTATTCAAGTAAGAGTGACCATGTTTTTAATATCTTCAACATCTGTGCAACATTGTTCAAAATGTTACATCACTGCATGACCTGTAATGTTTCACAATATTTACAAAAGAATGCTGCTTACATCAAACCATTAAAAAAAGTCCAAACAATCTCAAAATAATGGACTCTGACAAACTATCCCTAGCCCACATTAATGCAAAAAGAGAAATTAACAAGAGCAATCAAGTGCACATCATACTTCACGCAAGTCTATTTTTTGTAAAGTATATATTAGTGAGAAAATATATACTTAATTACAAGTTGACCAAAGAAAATACTGACAATGAAAAGGCTGGAAGAGGGAAATGAGATTCAAAGAGCAGGAAAATAAAAATCACACTCACACCTCAGCACACAATCACAGGCGGGAGGAGGAAGAAAAGAACTGCACAGACCATCTCAAACACAAAGATGCTTTCAACTCTTGACCACAAATAACATGAAACTGATAGAACAGATCCATAACACATGGGTTCCCAACATGAGACCGGGTTCCTGCATGTCATTGCACAAAAACAAGGAAGGGGCGCAGAATGAACTTTACCGAAAGAGCTCGCGGGTTCCTCGACACCGAACGTCACATTTTGAAAAACGGCCGAAAGATTTCCTCGTCACAGATTACAGTAAAACCTCTGAGGTTCTTAAATGTGTGCACGCTGAAAAATTAGGGACATTTAGAAAAGCATGGATATTATTAAACACAGATATCCTGCGTCCAACTTAAGTTTAAGGTTGGTAAAAGTGTGCACAAATTAACAAAATCAGAAACCTTTAAATCGTTACTTGGATGTAATTCATAGCTTGACTTTGAGGCTCCCTGTTTACAACATTGGGTATAAAACTTAAGCACATTTGTGGGATTCCTCGCCACAAATAAAACAGTTTTCTGGGGATATAAAACCATAAGATATGCATCAACGGTAGCGTGTTCATGTTTTACTGGGTGAGAAAGAAAACAATCTCTTTACGATGTAGTGTACTATTTGGTTTTACGGTTTGTAACAGTTGGGTTCTTTGCAGTAACTTCAAGTAATAGTTTTCTTCGTTTGATCAAATTAAAAGCAGTGGGAGTAACAGCTGTGTGTGTACATGTTAGAAGGTAAAGCTACAAATAAATTACTACTTCATGGCTCTCCGGTGAGAGTTTTGGAGCGTGCATGTTGAGGGTGTGCACGAAAGAGAAGGTTTCAAACAATCACAGATGCCGTGTTTCTAAGCTGTTGATCTTTGCCATCGATTGGTATATTGCACTTGATATTTCTGTAGTGATTTCAGGTGGTTTCGATCTGGAGTAGTGTGTGTGTGTGTGTGTGTGTGTGTGTGTGTGATGTGCATCACTGTGGCTTTTAAGACCCCGTGATGGTTTTGCTTTGCTAGTTTTAAAACTGCATTTATTACCAACATTAACGGCGTCTGCCTTTACAGATGTGCATATTCATAAATAGTATGGTGTCGGAGGCAGACGTAACATTTTCTTCCTTTATGACACGATGCGTAACAAAAACAAACAATGAGAAACGTGTTCTCTGTAATGCTCACTTCTTAAATTAAAGGGACCGTGACCTTTGTAATTGACTCTGAATACATGATCTATTCACTGGTAAAAAACAAAACATACATATACACATATAAGGCTTGAGTTCTCAACTCTTGGTAGTATTATTGCCATCTAGCATATTTGTAAAGCTTAAAATAAATATGGAGTACTGTACATGAATAATTTACATCAATAAGCAAAAGTAAAAATAAACACAAGGCCTCTAAATGAGAGAAATGCTTTCACCGCTCTTTAAAGCGAGTTCTGATGCTCTAGACTGGAGGTCGGTTACTCTACCTAAAGCTATCGTTGTGGCGAAGAACGACTACAGTCATGGAAGAAAAAAAAAATAAATCACTGTACAAACGAGCACGAGAACATAATCACAACAACCAAATGACATAATTCATCAATGCAGCCTGTGATTTCTTGATTGTAGCTGAAGGAAAAATCCACCCAAAAAACACTCGCGGTTGTGTTCTTGTGCTGCATTCAGGGTCCTCTCGGTTATCTTTGTTTTAACACAGTTCAAAATATGCTTCAGTTTAATATGATGTAAAACAGAGAAAAGCAGGAAATCTCCATATTTGAGAGGCTGAGAAACGTATTTTATGCCACATTTATGACACAAACTATTTATTATTATCGATTAACATATCAATTGCTATTTTGTGATTAATTGTTAAGTCAATAAAAGGACAAAAACTATGAGAAAGTACCCTTAAATTTGTTCTTTCTTAAATAGATGACAAACGGTTATCTAAATATCTGCAGCTGTAGCATCAGGTGACCCTGAGCCTTCGTGTAAGGAAAACAAAATGACATGTGAGGGTGGATTTTTCCTTCTATAAAACATCTGGTAACCAAAGAAATCTTCAGCCAACCAGACTTTGTTTTAAGCACAAACACCGGATCTCCAATTGCGATGTTCCCGTCGAGGTGGCTGGAGGAGCCGGCGTCCATTTACCAACGTCCGTCCGGCCGCTCGTCGTTTCCCAGCCTGCTCCGGGGGAACATTGAACACATTCTGCTGGTAAAGTTCATTCTGTTTTTATCTTTTTTTTAACTTTCCCCAGTACAAATGATGTGAAGTGACGTTCATAACGGAGGACTCATATACTCATGCCTGTTCTCACTGCTGTTCACTTACAAAAAAACAAAAAAACCAGCACGTCGTACAGTTCATCATATAAAAGCTTTAGGCTGTATTCTTATTTATCCTACGCATGCGGCCGTATGCAACCGCACGTCTGAATAGAAACCAAGACATTGGTACACTTCTGCTTTGTTTCTGTACAATAAAAGATAAAATGTGCATTAGGTATGCTTGTACATGACATTGTACAATATTTACATACAATTCTTAATAGCATGAAATTTCAGGATTATCTATATACATATTGAAAATGTATCAGAAATATTTGGACTGTCTATTTTTCTTAAATATGTATGGTAATGCTTGTAGCTTTTTTTTTTGTTTGTTTTACTATCTTATACTAGAAAAAAATAGTTAATTCAGTGAGCTGTAGACAAATCGCAACCAATGTTTTTCTTTATTTGTCCGTGTTTTCTCTCTACAGTTAAAACTGTACAGGTGATTGGAATATCCAGCACCTTCTGTGGTCGTTAAGTCAAGTCGATATCACGGATGTACCACTGAAAGTCCATGTGTAGCACCTGTTAGAGAGCTCGGATCGCATCAAGGCTGAACGGACGAAGTCTCCGGAGGCTTGGAGGACGTTCTTGGGCCGACACATTCAATGTTATCTGGATATCTTCCTCCTCTTAGGCTTGGGGAGCTTCACCTGACGATCCCTCGACGGGATCTGACGACAGACGGACAGAAACATTACGGTGACGAAAAACACAAGGAGAAAAAATGACTTCTTCGTCTCTCCGGGGGATCAAGAAAGGTGTAAACAACTCACTGTGCCCGACATCTTATCCAGCTCACTCATGGCCTCGTGGATAGCAGCTTCCAAGTGATTATTCAGTTTCCCCGGCCTGTTGAACATTGATATTTTACATTATTTACAGTTAAGCTAATGCAGTCAGACAGGTTTTTTTTGCTGCAGGGCCCATACTACACTGCACCAACACCAACACATTAACCTGGTTCAGATCTAAGTTGCAGTACGGTGTGTAACCATTTACTGAAGCAACAATATGGTGGGCGGGTTTACTTACTTCAGGCCTCTTTTGGCGGCTCGGTCAAGTGCCTCCAAGTCGTGCGTCAGTGTTTTTAGCTTCTCTGGCTCTACCTGGAGGGAGACGAGACCAAACACCAAAACAATGACGGTGAATTTGATTACAGGGTTTGGGTTTGGAATTTGATTACAAAGCCTTCGACTTTCTGGCAAGCATCTACCTTACACTGGAGAATAATTTGCGGCAGCCATGAATATGGGGACTATGGCTGGTTTGTTTAGCCACTGAAATCAGCCTTCACTCTGCATTTAGTCTAAAGAATTCAAGTTGGCTTGTAAAATAGTGTTCACAGACGGGTTTCTCACCTTGGCCTGCTCCCGCAGCTGCATAGCAGCACTGTGCACTTGTTCGTCCCCAGCCAGCTTGGCAGGCCAAGGTGGGAAGCCTTTCAGCTGGCCCCAGACCAGCTCTCCCATGTTGAAGGTCCTGGACCGGTAGCAGTGAAGCAGCTCTGAAGAGGGAGAGTCCGGTTGCCGCAGGTCCTCCTCGCTGCTTAGGCTCTTAGTGTCCGAGGGGCTGGGCGCCATACCGTTGAAGTGGCCGTTGTAGTGGCTGTAGTCTTTGGCTGTGGCCAGAGGTCCCTCCAGGCTCGTGGAGGAGCTGGGCGACTGGTCGTCCCCCGTCAGCTCCTGCCTCGGGGGGCCCAGCACATCTCCGTAACCCCGGGTGCTGAAGTGGGTAGTGGCGCCATTGATGTGGACGCAGCGCTCCACCGTCTGCTCCAGACGCTCCTTGTAGTTAGCAGGCGTCCGGTGGCAGTTGTTGAAGCGGTAGCCATCATCGAGAAAGGCCTTATCGTGGGCCATGACCAGGCCGTGGTCGTTGGACCCCTCTGTGGGGCAGGGCGGGGCGGGGGCCAGGCTGGCGGGTCGCTCCATGCAGGGACTACTCCTCACTTGGGTCGAGCACTCCAGAAACTCCTCACCACCCCAGGCGCTGTTGTTGCTGTGAGCGTCGAAGCCTCCCCCGTGCTGCGTCTCTCCGTCCCACTGCCCCCTGGGAGTTCCACGGCCAGGAGAGCGGAAGTAGTCGTTGGCCTCGGGGCCGTCTGGAGTGCTCTTTCCTGGATCCATGTTCTTCTGACCTCGTCCCGGCCTCACCTGCCTCGGTCTGGCTTGCTGCGGTAACACCTCTCCTTCCTGGTGCCTGTGCAGGACTGTGCTAACTGCTTGGGGGAGGTTGACCGGCTCCCCTATAGAGGCAGTGAAGGCACTCATGGCGCTGAGGGAAGGCACCGGACTCGATTGTGTGGTCCCGCTCACTGTGGTGGTTATAGTTACATGCATGCCCTTGCTGGCGGCGTCCACCACGGCTCTGTAGATGGCGTCCACCGACTCCGGGCCTCCACCCGGGCCCCTGTCACCGCCGGGTGCCCCCGCTGGAAGCCCTTCACCTTGGGGCTGTTGTTCCTCCCTGAACTGTGGGTGAGACAACATCCCCGTCTGTGGACACAACAGCAAGGTCACAACACGATGCAATTACGTGAATTTGAAACGCTGCAGACAATTAAAGTAGAACTCATCATCTCCACCTGGTAGTTCTGGTAGAGGCAGGCCATGGAGCCGGCATTGGCGTTGCTTCTGTCTGAGTAGGGCGGGTTGTCAGAGAAGTGCTGCTGTCCCTGGTAGGCTGGGTGGGAGGCCACTCCCTGCTGCATGCCCTGGTGGACCTGCTGCTGGTACATCTGACCTACACCGGTGTTGACGTGAGGCTGCAGGCCGCCCATACCGCAGCCAAGGGATGAGGGGTTTCCTGCAAAACCATTGGGACAATGTAAGTCAAAATTGTCGTGGGACGCCAAAGACAGACGCTGACGGGGATGATCAGTCACCCAGCTCCTCCACTAGCTCTCTCTTCGGTATTTAAACCAAATAGCACAGCAACGTCACTGCTTACTATCCCTTTTTGCTAGATAATAATACTGCAAATCCAGTATTTCCTGACTTGATGTAATCACACATTATGCACAACTCGAGCAGACTTTGCTAATTATTAGCATTAACAAAATGCATTTGCATTCAGGCTTTTGCAAACAATATACTGTATAAAAATACAAGCAGATCTATTTGGAGTGGGCGGCCAAAAATAATGGCAAATGACTGGCAAAGCTGGGCAAGTGTAAAGACTTTCGGAATAAAAGAAAAAGTTGCACATTAACAATCTGTTGCGCCCAAAACTAACAGATGGACGCGCTGCGCGGTCCAGACAGACTAGTTAGCAAAAGCGTCCAAGGACACAACATGAACAAAAAAAACACATATCAAGGCCACAGATGTATCAATGAATGAGGAGACAGCCCAGCAGCAACGCTACGCAGACAAAAGCAGAAGCAAACAGACTCTCAGAGGCCCGACGCCGTGTTCTGTGGGAGTGAGGATGAGACCGGAGCAGCTGGTGATGCTACGTAGCTGAAGGGCAGCTGTGTGTGTTCTCCATTTTTCTTTCTTCCCTCTCTAACGCTGAGAGCCACGACCCCCCCCCTTAACTCCCCACATCCTCCGCTACCGCTATGATATAGTGACGGCTGTTGCCGGGGGAGGTTTCCATGGGAACCGAGTGATGATTGGTGGTGCTGTCCGCTGCCAGGAAGCTCGTTGGGGGAGTTTGGGTGGAGGAGGGGGGGGGTTACCAGGGTCGGGTGGTGTGATTTTACTCTTCTGGGGGATGGGGGGCGGTCAGCTGGGTGGCAGGAGGTCTTTGGGGGGTTTACAATGAACTTTGGAGTATTTGTTGATGGGGGGGGGGGCCTTCAAGGCTCGCTAGCCGTCCAGAAACAGATGGTTAGAGGCTAATGCTAAAAAAGCCACCAACTAGACCACTTTCAAAGAGCTCTCAGTGCTCTTAAGGACCCAAACATGTCGTCCAAATTAGCCTCAAGTATGAGGAAATCAAGGAGACTACTCGGGGGCATAAGATCTGCTCTTTGGTGACAGAATATTCTTTTATCCCGAGAGCCTGTGAGTGCTTATGTGCTAGACAGGGGAGGTGGAGTCATTTCGCTGTATCTGTGACATTATCATTGCTTTCTTTTTCAGGATAAAAACAACAAAACACTGATGAGTTTTGGACCATTAGAGGCAAGAGTCTTGCCGGTTTTGCCGAACCGTTTTGGCAAGTTAAAAAGTAGCCAATATTAGCAACCAGTGCCACCAGCATCACAGCGCGTAATCCACTGTGTATTGCACAGCAGTAATAAGCAATATGACAATGTGATTACCATAATGCTTGTTCGTAGACCAACAGAGCCACTGACGTCTGATAAGGCCGGGCGCAATTTGAGCCGAGGCCGGCAACATTAAGGAGATCAAATTTCAGTAGGGGGGGGGGGTTTGTTTGCTAGATGTTTGCATGATGAGACATGGCAGAGATAGTCTCAAAGAAAACTGCACCAATATGGCACCATTTGGGATTTGAGGCCGTAAAAGGTTGTTGTGAGATATAAAAACGTCAGGAGTCCAGCTGAGTGCGGTGCAGCTTCTTCTTCTTATTATGTCGTGATTACTGGTCGTTAGCTCAGAGGTGCATTACCGCCACCAAGTAGACTGGAGTCGCTCCACTCTAATTCACGAGCTGTCTCAGTCTCAAGTGTGACCACTAGTGGTAAATATCTGTATAGCGGTCTAGTCGGACGTCTAGGGGCCCTGCAGAGTCATGTTTTGATGACAGGATCCCCTGATTGTTTGCATCACCTGTTCTGCGATTATGACACAAGGATGAGCACATTTTGAACTGTTGTGACGATGCGTGTTTTTAGATTTACGTCCCTACATCCTGTCATGCTCTACCTCCTGACTTACACTTTCGTCGACTTGACTTGCAGAATAACGAGATACCTGGTGATTAGAACAGATTGGCTGCAGCAGACCTCGGTGGTATCTCCATTATAAACCATACGAGGACACACAGACGCACCGTGAATACATAAACTCATAGTCCGGTCCCACAGCAGGCAGGACGGGGGGGTACGGGGGGGAAGAACAACAAGATGTCGGTCTTTTCAGCGCTTTCAAAACAAACGCTCACATGAATGAGAGTACACACACACACACACACACACACACACACACACATATATATATAAAAAGCATACAGTCACACACAAATAAACAGAAGCACACTCACTGTAATACACAAGTAGTCACAGGCATGCACACACAATCATTCAAACACACACACACACTAAACCCTCATCAAAGGATTCACTCTGGTCCCTATTCAGGGTCTATAGTTACTATAGCGACCGGCCAGCTCTTTTTCGAGCGCCCTATCTGGGCCGCTTCCCTTAAAGCGTGATCCAGATCCCATTTCCATCTTCTTACACCATTGACTGATGCTAGCATACAAATAACACAAAGAGAAACACTGGCGGACTGACAATTAGCCGAGCTTTCCAAAGATGAGGGGCCTGCTCATTAGCTCAGAGATACAGGAGGAGCCCGACTGTCTCGGCTCGGGGCCTATCACCTAAATCCTTTGGTTTTTGTTCACTTATAAGCATGGAAACCTTCTTCATCCAACCACTAGCTTATCACGAGGAAGAGCGGGGGAAACACAGTCACTACCTGCAATAGTGTGATCACTGCGCTCACACAATAAATACAACTGTAGTTATTTTAGCAATGAATGAAATGCAAATGTCCGTTTCAAAAACGGAGACAGTAAAAAATAACATATTTGCTCCATTGTGTTATTTAAGAGAGTATAAATGCCTTAAAATGTAAATATTTAGCAGCAAATGTATTGTGAATGAAGAAATATAAAAAGTCTCACCCGACTCAGAGATGGTTTGTGTACAGCTCCCATCAGCACCTCCATGTGGCATCACCACCATGGTAGTCCGCCCCATACCGTGAAGGAGGTTCTGCTGTGAGGGGTGAGGGCCGGGATGGGACAGCGGTGGGGGGTTAGTGTGGGGGCGTCCCAGCGGCATGCCATCGGGGCCCACTGGTCCACCTCCTGGCACCATAGGCCCACAGTTACTCATGGAAGAGGCCTGCATCTGGGCTATCATGTCAGGGAACTGGCCTGGACGAGAGCCCAAATGGCCCACAGAGGTGTCCATGTTCTGGCAGTGCTGCATGGCATCCCCTGGACCCCGAAGCCTCTGCTGAGCTAGGAGGTTCTGCTGAGGGCCAGCAGGGACCATACCAGTGCTGTCGTTGTAGTGCAGCTGTGCAGATCCTTGAGGGCCCGGGCCAGGGCTAAGACCTGGACGATGGTTGTGGGAGCTCTGGCAGCTCATGGACTGGAGAAGCTGGGCCATGGAGGTGTTTGGGGGAAGGTTTCCAAGTCGGCCCACTTTTCGAAGCTGCTCAGTGGCACTGGGACCCGCCATGTGGGGTCCTCCCATGCCTCGCTTGTTAAGCATGTTGTAGACCATGTTGTTACTGTTGTCGTGGTTTACAGCAGCGCTGCCCGATGACTGCTTCCGTTTGCGCATGGGGTCCCTCTGCTGGGCCATGAGCTTGTCTCTAAGAGCCGCCCGACCACTCTGGCCCTCAGGAGTGTTGAGCAGCATGGTGGAGTTTGGCGGGAGCATTGAGTTTAAAGTGCTGTGTCCCTCCATGCCTCGAGGGCCGCTCATAGAGCCAGGGTGTCCGCCACCTACTCCATTACCTCCACCACCAGCCCCCATGCCTGTCATACCACCACCACCACCACCGCCACCGCCACCTCCGCCGCCGCCCATGCCAGCAGGGCTGTTGCCAGCAGCGCTGAGTTTGTTTTGATTTGCTAGCTGTGCTTTGGCTGCGGCTGACAAGAGACTGCTGGCCGGGAAGGAAGCGGCATTCTGTTGGTTGAGAATCTGGTTGAGGGGCATACCCAGGAGTCCTGGGTGGCCCTTCTGGGAAGCGCTAGGGGTTGCCAGAGAAGAAGATGACGAGGAGGAAGAGGTGGGTGAGTACATGGGGTTGTTGTGCTGCTGGGCGCCAATCGAGTTTCCCATGCCGGGCAGCATCTGGGAGTCTTTGTACTGGTGGTGCGGGTCAGTTTTGTTGGTGGAGGGGCTGGAGGGCATAGAAGGCCTGGGAGATCCCATGGCCGACCTGGGGGAACGAGGAGGAACCTTCATGCCACATGGGGCCTGGTGCCCCGAGGGCATTGCAAAGTTCCCATGGTCAGAGGAGGTGGAGGATGACCGTGAGCGATGAGGAGAGGCCTCCATTCGGCCAAGGACAGGCCCTGCCATGTGGACAGGCGAAGTGACAGGGGAGGGGGACATGGAGGAAGCCGGACCACCCTGTTGAGTCCTTTGAACATGGCCGCCATGCCCCACAGGCACAGGCTTCACTGTGGGTAAAGGTAAGTTGCTTGGCAAGGGAACGATGGCGGGAGGGGGTATGTTTACATTCATCATTTGTACCTGAGAGTGGATGTTGGGCTGGAAGTTGGAGGGGTTTGGGGCGTGGCGGGGGATGGGGTCCAGGATGCCTAATGGGTCTTTTTCGGACATCAACTGCCTTTTCTGAAGAGCACAGGATGGTGGTATGGATGGAGGAGGCGGTATGGGATGCACAGGGGGCTGTGTTTTATGGTGAAATGCTGCACGGGACATATCCATACCAGGGGGGAAGCTCCCCCGAGGCATGTTCATGACAGGGCTTTTGGCAGTGGCCGTGGGGGAGAGGGGCGTGCTAGTCCTCCCTGTCATGGCGCAAGATAGCTGGCCCGCAGGGGAGCCATGGAGCATTAAACTGGGTGGGGAAAGAGGCGTCCTAGAGTTCCCATGGATGGAGGCTGAGCCAGGACTACCAGCTCCTGGAAACCCACAAGGATTGGTCCTTGGAAAGCCATCGGGGCTGCCCAGAGTGTCTGCACTGGGAGACTGTGAGCCATCTCCATACAGCTTAGCACTGGAGGGAGGTGGGCTCAGCATGCCTCCATACCCAACCCGGTAAGGGGATCTGTGGCCCGTCTCCCCACTGCTCAACCTCTGCGGCCTGGGGTATCCAGAGTAGAGCTCGGGATGCTGGGCTCCACCCATCTCCTGGGGTGGATACAGCCTCTGCTGCTGCTGCTGTCCAGTTGCCATCATCATCTTGAAAGGATTCTTGCAGTCTGGGCCAACAGCGTTGGGCAGGCCATCGTGGGGTTTAGTCCTTATTACTCGTTGAGACGTGGAGTGTGCAACGACCACCGATGATGTACCTTGAGGCCAAACAAAGTACATTTGAGTTAGATCAATACCAACGCCTTGGACAAAACCAGGGCAGGAAAGTTATTGTCATCTGCAGGTCACAGAGGCTGGTGAACCATTAAAATGACAAACTAGTTAATATCAGTATTCATTTGTCTAATATAACTGGATTTACTCATACCTCCCCCCGGACTGGTGAGCGTCAGAGGTGGGTGCGTCCCCATGCTCCTGTGCAGCGTGGCCACCGCCAGAAGCTTCCTCTTGTGAATGCAGAGCTTGGTGACGTCTTCATCGGCTCTCACATCCTCCGCCGTCCTCTGCTTCACAGCTGCCCCTGGGTCGAAGTTGAACACCTGAGGAGAAAGATTGGTGGGTTGAACAGATATCAGTTCACAGATACCAATGTCAATGTGTCTTTCACTTTTGGTCATGGTCACAGAGCACTTTGGAGTAATAACCCACATCTAAGGATGGTCAAGAATCTAAGAATCAAACATTTCGTTTCTTCTTTTTCTGTCGACAGAAGACAGTTAAAGTGAAAAGGGGGGATTGTGAAAAATGTTTTGTGTTTTTTGGGGGGTTAGCATCTGCTATATTAAAACATGAATAATAGAGCAGAGAAGCCAACATCAGCCTGATAATGGCCTGATCTCACAGACATGGTGTTGGGACAAATTTAGCTTCAAGAAGGATAATCATTTGGATTATCCCCATGTAATGTGATACAGTGGACGCCTCACGACACCCAGACATCTGCAGTATGGACCTTCCCATAGATCAGTGGAGTCGGTCAGCTTGAATTCATTTCATACATGCTGCGCATAAGGAATGGGAGTGGAGAAATGGATTATGCTGCCGGAGTGGTTCGAGAGCTTTCTCTGGACATTTTTCCGCTCTTTTCCGCCGTGAAAACAGGACGCTACTGGAATTCATTGTATCCGACATTAATCCAAGCCGACCACAGCCACCGAGCTCCGTGAAGGACAAAACTACAAACTTGTTTTTTTACAGCCACCTTTCAAGCTGACAGGGGGGACTTTTTGATACTCAAACAACCATTTCAGCAAAAACAAAAGCATCACTTTAACAACAGTCTGTCAGAAGTTGTTTTCACCTTGGTTTGACGAGCGTGACACCATTTCCTCCTCACAGACGTGTTTACCTCGTCCTCATTCCTCCCTCTATTCCTGTCCTCCTTCCTAGCTGCCGTAACAAATGTCAAATAAGTAACGTGTCCCATCTTGAGGCGGGAACACGTCCAGAGTTGACCGCCTGCTTTGAATTAAACTATCATGTAGTCTGAAGAGGCATTTAGCTCACATTTATTCTCAGTGATTTGCAGCCAAACCTGTAATAAGTGGAAACTAACTAACACAACAGCTGCTCCACAAGCAACAAACAGTTCTTGCAAAAATAGCTTAATTATTAAATCTTAAAATTGTAGATTGAAATTTAAGCGATTGGTTAAAACTCCTTCACAACCCAGCATGCAATGGTCTCACTGACTTTTACTTCTCCAGGAGTAAAAATAAGGAAATGCACCAACAAAACAAAAGAAATCTTCCCCTTACAAACGTAGATTTTATGTCTCACTTGTCTCCAAACAGCAGGGACGGGATCAGACATGATTCCCCAAACTAAACCCGAATCCTGTTTGACGTCATCTGCAATTCGACGCTTGAAATGAAGTGTGGTTCACATCTTTTTACCTTGCAGAGAACAGCTGATGAATAAAGCTTGTTGAAAAAATGACATTTAGGGTACAGCAACGCCACCTGCTAATGAAAGTTTAGGTTTAATCTGCTAGGGGTCCTTATTTAGCTGTAGTTTTTAGACAACATCATATTAATTCATCTTAATTAGAATATCCTCTGAAGTCGATTCATAAGGCAGCTGTAAAATCACCGCCTGATCGCTGTGTTTTAAATGAATCAGGACAAAAATAATTACCTTGTGGAGGATGAGTGGGCACTCCAGGCCGCATTTGCAGGTTCCATCTGTCAGCAGGTAGGTCTTTACCTGCTCCAAGCTGGACAGCACCGAGCCACTGGGACTGCACACAGAAAGCACCGATGTTAGTCTGAGGACAGACGTCAGCCGGTGTCGCTCCAGAGCACAAACACTCCTTCTGTCACACTAAATGTTGCATTGTTTAAAAAGGATTTTTACAAGGGCTTAGTGCTCCCACCACAATTTTATTCCTGACTCAGAAGATGAAAAGGAACCGCTGCACATTGAAACGCTCCACTGACAGACGTACAAACGATTTCTTTAGGTGGGTTAGCAGCTCCTTGAGGCAGGTTTCGCTGCAGGTTTAACAGCCTTGCAACCAAGAAATCAAACAGTCAAATCCTCCCACACCACAGAGGAACTCTTCCATCCATATGAACTAAAAACAATAATTGAAAACATGGTCAGTGAGGAGGAGCCTGGTAAAATATCATGTTGAATAAAAAGTCCAAGCTCATTATCAATATGTAACTAATGAATAACCTGATACATGCATGCAAATGTCTTCCTTTTAGTTGGGGAATTTGGAGACACTTTCTAAAACAATAATATTCCACTTATACCATTAAGTTCCTTTATTTCAGCCATTTCACAACGATAAAACCAGGAACATTGAAGGACTAAAAGTAAACATCAGGAATGTGAACAGGAAGTCACAGCTGCAGTAAATCCAGGAGAAATTAGGAGTTTTGAACCAACGACTAAATCACCAGTCACAGCTGCTGTGAACACATCTACTGTGAGGATCTACAGTTGCACATCCCCGAAGCAAACGCACACTTTAAATGTAAAAGAACATGAGCATGTGTGCGGTGACAGTATCAGGCCACGGTCACAGAAGTACACGGGATTCTTTCCAACACCCAAAATAAACCTGACACCAGCCAACTGCTTTAGTTCATTGTGGCTGGTAAATACCCGTGCTGGTGTTCATATGCCGGGAAGGACACCGACTTCCAGTCTACATCACACGGATCCAACCCATTAGTTAAAGCCCCTGTTGCACAAGAGGATTTCATAAGCGACTGACGGGTTTCTTGAAAGGAGGCGTAGTGAAATTAGCTTGTAACAATTTACCAGAATTTGGTGTTTCCTGTCCAAGCAAACAACAATTTACTTGAGTCAAGGGAACGCTTATTGCAATGTTACCGGCAGCCTCCCAAAGAACAATATGTTCAAGAGATTCTTACAGCTATCGATGCCAAATACTGTGGTAAAGCTGCATCCTGAGTTAAGGGAATAACTATGACTCCGTACAGCAAGAAACACGATCAAAAAGTTACCTCCTGCAGCACCAAAACCTGATGGTTATTATTGGTTTTACATAAATGATATGATTTCTACAACTCACCTACTTTTGGCCACTTTATGCGCTACAGACAAAACAATTAGTTGATAAACCTGACTGTAATTTTGGTAATATCTTTTAAGTAATTTACTGTGCATAATGTGGAACAATATATGGATCCAGAAATCTAAAATTGAATCTAAAGAAGCCGACTTACGAGCTCTATTTCTTACCTTATGTATACGACCCCGCCGCCATGCTCCGGCTTGCGCTGCCAGCCGATGGGGACCTGGACAGGGACGGCCTGCCTCTCATCTCCCGCCTCGCAGTCCTTTCCGCCATTCATTGCTCCACCGGTTTTACGCTCGACGCCTCACAGGTATATATATCAGACATCAACCGGTGTCTTCGCAATGCACCTCATGCTCGTCTTCCAAAGCCGTGGTGGAGGAGGAGATGGTGGGAAGGGTGCGGAGACGGATAGAGCTGCAGGATTATGCTTCGACGTAGGGCTTTGCTCTCAGGTAGAGCTGGTGGGTGGTCGGGTAGGGTGAGGCGAGCTCACAGCAGACCCTACCCTCTCAGCTGCTTCATGGCTACACAGCTAAATGGTGCATGGACTTCCATTACTGCATCTTCGTCTTTCAGAGCCATCCGACTCGGGAAGATGCTGGCTGAAGAAGCGGGGATCAGGAGTGGCTTTGCTTTCACAGGAAAGTCGCCCAGGATACAGTCCCTCAGTCGGACAAACAGAGTGTGTTTAACATATCGGCTCCCAAACGCAGTTGGGTAGTGGTATTCCCATGGTTCCTGTGAGGGCAGAGCAGAAGAGGAATGCACATGAATTAATGGTCAATGCGATCCATTTGCATTGCATGAGTAAATACATAATTTAATCTGCTCTGGGAATGGAAGACATAAATGATATAAAAGCCGCTTCAAGTTCTGACAGTCTTTTTATTTAACCAATTACTTCCATTGTGCTATAAAAAGGCAAAATGCTAAATAATTGTTGGACAATATCTGAACTCGGTATGTTAGCGATGGCGCTCCATGCAAAGCCTCCTCTCAGCCGCCGGTGCTGCTGACTCATAACTGCCCCGTGAGCTGCTGAGACCGAACCCAGCGACACCACCACAGAGGAAGAGAGCGAGGTGAGGAGGGTAGTGCTGCCCGTGGTCACAGCAGCTAAACGTATGCTGTTTATCTGGAAATACGCAGCACCTCATCGTCTCAGTAGAGGTGCGTAGTGTCCTATCAGAGACCACCACATCGTTAAAATCTCATCTCCCACAGCGCCGTGTGTGCAGAGGTAACAGAGAAAGCATCATTTATATTGTTGTGTTCATATTGGAGGAAAAAAATAATTATTTTTCCAACAAGTGCTTGGTGCAGAGTTGCTGTTTGAGGACGTCTCTGGCTGCGACATGTTTAACCTCCATTTATCAGGTTCTGATTTAGTATTTTGGCTTTTTTGTTTGCTCGAATTGGAGACAGACGAGAAGCGGTACAAAGAGAGAAGAGTAATGTCCACAAACGTCCTGGACCCGATTCAAACCGAAGACATTTTGATTAAAAACGACATCGGTGCCACAGCCAATGTTTTCATCTTAACCTTTGGCAAAGCAACACTATTTAAATCTGTCACCTTGCTAATGTGAAAGCACAAAATTAAATCTCAGCTCTCACCATTTTACGGCCCATCCCTTCCCACCATTTCCTGACTCTCAAGAACTACCATGTCCACATTACATATGGTATCTACTAATCTGTAACCTTTTACTGCAGGTGGATCTTTTTTAAGATTATGTTTTCAGCCTTTACACATGTATTGTTCACATCAACAAGAAAGAGACAGACAGACAGTGAGAGAGGACAGAGAGGGGGTCGAACTCAGGACACACAAGCCGAACAGAAATGCAGCCTGAATTCCATTATTACTGCACTGAAAAAAATATTACGGTGGATTCTTTAGCTGTGACCAGCAACTAAAAAATGTCCCCACCTTTTGGCAGCCTTATTTTTCTCCCTATAAGGCGAAAATTTGGCGTGGAGGTCAAGTATTAGTGAGGTTGTATGTGTATGAATGCTTGAACGCATGGATGCAGCTATCGTGAATTTATGCTTGTTATAGTAGGCTTTTGCGTGATGCTCTTACACGATTGCTTTGGAGCCTCAGCACATTGCTGTTTCAGCTAGGCCGTCGTTGAGTTACGCATCCTTTAAAAATATACGTGGGGACACAAGATCTGCTATTTTGAATCTACGGCCAAATCTACAGACTTGTTTGGCAGATTAGGACAAACAAAAGCCAATATAGTTCATCCTAATCTGGATACAAGGCATCAAACGTAATGTACATTGTGTAGAAACTGGTGAATGTTTTAAATGGTGACTAGTTGCAGAAGAGCCTGCATTATGAAGCTTCATTTACTGATGGTCTTTACCTGTATAATGTACTGCATGGTACTAAACAATTCACACAGAGCTCTCCACTGCAGCTTTTCAAATGACACAGTGCAGACACAATACATTTAAACTTTAAAGGCTTCATACTGAAGCTATGATACGTAGAACGGTACGTGGGTTTAAGGACAAGGAGAGAAACACAAAGCCTCACGTCACTGCAGAGTCACTGCAGAGTCACTGCGATTATAGAAAGGATGGGAATAATAGTGCGAGTGTCACGCATTATGTGGCACTTGGGAAGGTAAAACGCACCTATTTGAAGATGTCACAGTGAAGGGAAAGCAGTCAACAACAATCTTACGGTTTTCAACATAACATTGAGGAAAAGATGCAGAATTATTGGAAACATGTTCAGAGGAAAAATAAGTTTTGGCACAGAACTGCCTTGCATATGATGTGAATTCTTCACAGCTTGGACTCAATCCAGCTGCAAACTTAATATAAGCAGTATGGAAAGAAAGATGAATGCAGAAAAAAAGACATAAACACAGCCACCGGAGACTTACGGCAATGCAATCTCAGAAAGACAAAAAAATTTTCAGATAAGAAATCGCATCAAAATGACAAGTGGAACTGCAGCCAAAGGTTCTTGACTAACTGAATTTGCAGTCCATTAAGGACGGCATCTTAAGTAAATGAAAACGTTCTCTCTCAATGTCCAAATTTTAAAGAATATGATCAGACAAAGTGGCTTGTGTGCATCTCATTACATGGTCAAGAGGTGGCCTTCTTTGTCTCGTGTCCTTATTGTGATATGTGTTATTTACAGTGAAATTAATGCATATGTATTTCTAGTAGCGATCAAGAGGGCTTGATGTCTGGAATTTACTTTGCCTGCGACGATGGTCTTTCCAAACCACAACCCCGTCTAAGAACAAGCTCTTTAAATAATGACTGTAGGACAACACGACAAAACTTTACCAGCATTTGGATTAAATGCTTGATCAAGCTATTTAGAAACAACAACAGTGAGAGGATAGCCTTTTTCACACCTGTAAAATCAAGGGAACACAATCTCAGTTTAGCACAACCTTAAAAGACGTCGGAAGAAATATGTTGACCCTGAATCTGTTTAACTTGACACACTATGTATGTTATGCAGATAATACAGGGAATTTGTGATCAAATTTCTGCTCATATTTGATTATTACCTGTTGGACTGATGCATAAAATATATTGTGGGGCCACACGGGTAAATTAAGTGGTATTATACGTCACCTTGAACATAGAGAGTGCGTTTATCGTGCAGTATGCTCTTTATTAGGTTGACATGGGAGCACGATGCCTGACCACCTCTGAACATGAACTCCTGAGCATTTATATCTGCATTTAGAGCTGACCACTTGATCGGACCTCTAAATATGCATTTAGTGCCAACAGGGTCTGTCATATGTTGTCAAATAAAGCAAGAGCAGGGAACAGGTAGCAATGCAAGTTCCCTGCACAGAGCATGTACTGTTTATAGAGTATAATCCTGGGCATGATACTAAAAAAGGAAGCAGGATAAACTGTATGTCCTCTCACTGAAGCACAACACATCTACCATGGTCTTTCAGACTAAATTAAACCCATTAATTCTCAACCTAGCATTAAATCTTGCTGTAACCCCATGGAGTTGGCTAAGGCTAGCTATAGCTGTAAATTAGCCATATTGTCCTGCAGCCTTCAAAGTTGACAGCTATACATAAGTAATTATAATATGTAATATATATAAATTACTTTTTCCTCCAAAACTGGAGAACGTGACAACCGCTTGTGTACATTACCAAAGCAACCACAGTTGTCTGAACCTTAGCTAATGGCCAATTAGCTTGGTGAACATTAGCTAGACTGCCAATATGTTGCCTTTATTAAACGTTTTAGCGACAACCGTGTGCAAGTTAAATGTTGTTTACTGTATCACATGACAAAATGTGCAGCTGAAACCCCATCGTGTGTGAAGTGAACGTGTCAACAAGCGGAATCAGTGCTGTCTGACTGTGCTTTTTGATGCATTGGATACAGTATCTGACCTAGCTCAGCTGGCTAGCTACGGTTAGCTAGCTAGCTAGCCAGCTAGCTTGTTGTAACGTAAAATGAATTAGAGGGCGAGCTAATAACGCTAATAACGTTTTAGCATTTAAATTAGCGAAACCGGAAGCGGTGTCACACACATTGCGGACCGACCAACTCGGATTCCGACTTCAAATTGTCGAAGTAAAAAAAGAGAAGCAAGCTAGGCCCGCGTTCAGGTTTCCGAGCCAGGCAAGGCCAGGCCAGGCCAGGGCACTAGGCCGAGTTAGCATGGGTTAGCCTAGCATAGCTAGCTGATATAGCCGTGCAAAACCCGTTGCGTTTGCAGGGAGAGAGAGAGTGAGAGCGAGCGAAGAAGAAGAAGAGAGACGCTTTTCAGGCATTAACGTCAAAATCAAGCCGTAAACAGTCCGTTCTTACACGTGCATCACGGAGAACGCACACCGGTACTGAAACAGTGAAATGTGTAAATATAAATAAGAATAAGAAGCCTACCCATTAGTTCTCTGCCTCTGCTGGTTCTCCTACACTGGGATATTGGAAATGATGGAGAGCCCCACCGCGCATGCGCGGCAGGATCAACCAGCAGATGGGAGAGAGGTGATGCACGTTACCCTCCAGAGCTCAGATGCATAAGCTCTCTGTGGCAAAAACAAAAAACATTGGGGATGAAATTATGAAATGAATGAGGCACAACTGAACGTGTGGGTGGGATGACTCACACAGAGTTTTCACTAAAGGCTCCTACAGTGGGTTGTGGGGGCCTCCAGGCAGCAAAATAAATGGTTCATGTTGTTTAATATAAAATAATGACCTCTCATATCATGAGGTTGCACACTTATATATATAATATATATATGGAAATGCTTCACTTTTGTCTGAAGGTCCAACCTGAGGAGACGTTAAATTAATTCAGTGTGTGGCTGCTGGAAAAGGACCGCTTCATGTATTTTTAAGGGCAAACACAGGGCTGAATGTGAAAGTAGAGTCATATTTTAGGATAATGCGACAGGCTAAATGTGAGCGGAGACTGGGAGACGATGTGTGAGATATCTGGTGCTTTATTGGGCTTTTTTCATCAGTCAACCAAAAGCCACAGGAAACGTGTTAAAGTGCTTACCATCATTGTGAGTGAGTGAAAGATGTTATGCACACAATCTAAATCAGAGCCGTGGTGACAGTTCAAATAAATAAATCCTAATTACATTTAATTTACCATGTTGGGGCAATCAGTGTCAACTCCCTGAAATGCTTAAAGATATGACAATTTCAAAGATATTTTAAAAGACAAATAAAA